ATATATTGTGCACATCCTGTGTTTTTGCTACTGCACGTAGCCGTGTTCTGTGCCTTGCAGTCAGACAAGCACTTGCCTAACAGAACCAGAAAATTCAATGAATTAAAATGCCCCCTTTCCTTCTTATTTGTTCTTTTTCACTCCTCCCAACATTCCAGCAATTTGAGGGTTTACAAAACTACCAAGTTACTCTGCCAAGAAAACTTCCGAGCTAAAGAAGTTAGAGTCCCTGAAGCCAAATTTCAGCTGCAAGTGACACCTGGCGCCTTTCCCATTGCAGGCCGCATCCTTTCCCTGCTACAGGTTCTGAGAGGGGCCCAAGTCTGGATGAAGCACCCTGCCGCCAAAGCACAGGCAGTGTGATGGGCGCTGATCAAAGCCTTGAGAATCAGGCTCATTCAGTTCTCTTTCGTTCACTTTCCTTTTATGATTAATTTTTCTTAGTCGAGATGCTTCACCTTTCTTTTATTTTTATGCAGTGCTGCGGACTGAACTCAGGGCCAGGGCTTTTCACAGCAGGGCAAGTGATCTACCACTGAGTTACATTGCCAGCCCTGAGCTTTTTTATTATTATTATTTTTTTTGTTAACATATCTCCTGCCTCACATGCACAAGGTCTTAGTTCAATCCTCAGCACTGAGAAGAAAGAAAGTAAGAAAGAGAGAGTGAAGCCGGGCGTGGTGGGGCAAACCTATACTCCCAGCACTTGGGAGGGAGGCTGAGGCAGGAGGATGGCTGAGAGTTTGAGACCAGCTTGGGCCACACAGTTCCAGGGCCTTCTCCACTACATAGTGAGACCCCGTCTCAAAAAAACAAAAGAAAGTGAGGAAAGAAAAGAGGAAGAAAGGAAGAAGGAGGCAAATAAGGAACAAAGAAAGCATAAAGGAAGAGGAAAGGGGAAGGAAGAAAGGAAGAGAGAAAGAGAAAGAAAGGAAAGAAGGAAGGAAGAACAAATGACAGAAAAAAAAAGAAAAAGGGAAAAACATTTTTCTTCTCTTGATTTTAGCTCCATGGCCAAATTTGGTCAATTCATAGTTATGTAGAAGAGTAAATGGAGATCAAGCGAAAGCAAGAAACCAGTTTAGGGAAAAAGACAAAGCTAAGGGAAGTCTATTTTGCAATAGGACACAGGACGACGTGATGAAAGGCACCGCTAACAAAACAGAGAAAAGGTTCAAATCAAGCGTCTTACTCAATATACACATCTAGTACTGCTCGTACCGAGGTCATTTTTTGTAAACAAAATCTTCAGGACAGCATTTCTACATTTATGAAAACATGAATGATCGTTTCGGATAGAACAGTAGCTGTGGGAGAATCCTGTTAATGCCCTCCGTGTTGGAAGAGTCCCCAGGAAGTAGGTGCAGCCTGGGGAGATGCTGCAGTTTAACTGCAGATAAAGCAATGTCTTGGCCTTCGTGGCCTTCCAGGCCGTGACCACACGGAGCGAATTGTTACTAACGGTTTGGTTCTCCGTGGGAAGGGCTGTGCGGGGTCCCCTGGGAGGTGTGGAGGGGGTGCGTGGGTGAGTGAGAGGATTCCCAGGCGTGAGATGCATGCGCCAGTTTCCTCAAAAGCGACACTGATGGCGTGAGGAGAGGATGCGGACAGCAGTGAGAAGGAACCGGGGTGGGGGATGACAGGCATAAAGTCTTGGAAGGAGATGAGGTGCCCAGTTTAAAATCTCGAGTTTCTCCTTCTGAGAAGCGATAGGTGTGCGTTTCCATGCTTCCTCTTCCTCCAGTTCTTGGAGTGCGGTAGCTGTCTCCGCCCGACTCCTGTGGGTGAGGGTGTGCACAGAATGGGGCAGGTGAGCTGTGTGCACGACAGCTGACGACGTCTCCTAAACCCTTCGGTGAGCAGGTGGTCCACAAAGCACAGCAGACATCTCCGTTAAATTCCAGAGCAACTCGAGATATTCTTCTCCCAAGGAAACAGTGATGAAAGGCCACAAACCCAGTGGAGAACTGGACAGGACTGAAGGCCGGCTCAGTACAACACCTGTGCTCTGAAGACCTAAACTGTTTCATTGCTGGGAAAAACAAACCCTATGTTACTTTTTCTTCCTCCTATTTTTAGCTTGAGGCTTATTTCCCATTTCAGAGCCATTTAAACACCCACCTGCGTTTTTTTATCTAAACTCACCATCCCCCGGTCTCATATTCTGCAACGATGTTGTTTGTCCCCAGTTCCCAAAACCCCAAATTGATCTTGGTTTCAGAATAATTAACTTATTAGCAAGATGGCTATGAGAGGCTTGATGATAAAAAGTAATTACAGAATGGAAACAGAACAGAGGGTTTGTAACAACTTAATAGTCATTGGGCCCTCTGGGTAACGAAACAATTTTGCTCCAAGTTTTGGGAAAAATATAGATGTAGCAGGAGGCAAAAGGAAAATTATGAGAATGAAAGTCAGCTTTGTAATAATGGGTTTTACTTTTAAGATCCACAGGCAGGGAGGAAAAAAATGAATGTGCAAGGGCTGGGGATTTAGCTCAGTGGTTCTGCTGCTTGCCTCGCAAGCACAAGGTCCTGAGTTCGACCCCTGGTACCAAAAAAAAAAAAAAGGAAAAGGAAAATGGATTTTAAAACCACCTTATAAATTATTTTGATGCTAAGATTTTATATGAAATTAGTTCATTCAACTACCAGAATAATTGCTCTTATTGTTCCTCTGTTAAAGGGCTTGGCCTTTAACAAGAAGCAACACATAGGAAAACACAATATTTGGTATCCATAATAATACCTGAAGTTTATTTGTTGAATTGAGCTACAGTTGATCATATAGGAAAGTGTATTTATACTTAAGTTACATAAATTATATTGTATAAACTATGTTATATATTAAAAATATATTTATACGTTTAGGGTTTTTGAGATAGGGTCTCACTAAGTCATTGAGGTGCTCAGGCTGGCCTCAAACTTTCCATCGTCCTGCCTCAGCCTCCCAGAGTGCTTCGATTAGAAGCTGTGTGCCACTAAGTCTGGCTGACCAGAAAAAAAAAATCTTATTGCCCATCTATCATTCAACCAACTCCACACTGGGCAGGTTCAGAGTCCTGTGTGGCCGGTGCCGACTCTGCCGGGTGCGGGGGTGGTCTTGGTAGAGCTTTCAGGCAGAGGCTGAGCTGAGCCGCAGAGGGAAGAACAGAGCCGTAGTAACGAAAGGCTTCCCAGCTCTGTCTCAGAGCTCACCCGAGGGCACACAACGTCCCTGATGGAGGATAGGAGCTTCAAGGGCACCGGGCGCAGCCTGAGAAAAACAAAATGAATGCAGTGGCAGTTGTCCGTCAGCTCTTACAAAATCACGTCATTTTGTAGAAAATGCATCGTATTTTTCAGGACCTCTTTCTTTCCCAACAAAACTCTACCCTTACCCTAAAAGAAGCGGAATCCACCCTTCCCCAGTGGGGGACAGTAGCCCAGGTGGTGTCCGTCTTCTTCCTCTGCAGTGAGGGGGAGAGAGGCTCGCGTCCCCTGTTCCCTCCAGCGGACTGGAAAAGAGGATTGGTGGGGAGCTGGTTTTCCAGTCTTCTGCCAGGTCCTGCGTCCCTTCCGTGCTGTGCAAGTCAATCAGCTTCTCAACAAATATCCCCTAAGCTCGCGAATCTGCAGGCTCCCTGGAAGTCTCCAATGGCTGAGTGTGACTCAACACCTATCTGCTGAGGGGCTGGCACTCGTCGCAGATGGCATGCAAATACATTTCCCTTCAGTCTCACACGGGAGCTTTCAGCCCCTGCCAACCGTCACCTCCCAGTCTGAGGGGGCGGGTTCACGGAGGAGTGAGGCAGGGACCCTATTGGTGTGTTCGCGCTTCATTAATTCACTAAGAACACTTACTGAGCAACGACTACCCGCCACGCATGCGCACGCGGGACTCAACGTTCAGGAAAACGAGATTCTTACGAAGTGAAGAGCTGAGGGGAATTCAGCTGGACCTTACCATAGACACAGGACGAGGGCAGTCACGGGGCAGCCTGGATGAGTACAGTGGGGAGCGCAGACAAGAAAGGCTATGTTGGTTTCTGAGAGAGGGGTAGTTTTCTTTTCCACTGTGATTTCATAATTTAAAATTTGATTTTATTTAATTTTAAATAATCTAATGTATTACAAAGACATTAAAAAAGAAAATATAAAAGCCATTCTGTGAAAAAATAATTTTTCATAACAAACATTATTAGAGAACAACTGTGGTAAATACAATGAGTATCATGACCCTAAAAGAATATATTTTCATTTGCTAATCTATCTTAGCTCATTTCCTAATAATACTATACCCTTTAAAAACACATTTTAAGTATTGACAAACTATATCTCACATTCTGTATAATTTGGAACAATTTCTTCCTATTTCACAGTATTTATTATTCTTTTTGGTCCTTCTTTTCATTTTCAATTTCTCACACCAGAGAGACAATGCCATATTTACACATGCTCGATTTATTCCACTAAAGCATTATGTTCTCAAGGTGCATCCATTTACCTAGAAGTGTCTCAAGCCTATCCTTCTTCATGGCTGAATAGTACTCCATTATATTTTTAAAAAGTATATCTTTCCCCCCCATTCATCAGTTGATGGGCATTTAGAAAGGGTGTGTATTGAGTGGGAGTGAGGGTTAAAGTCAGTGCTGCAGCAGAGAGGGCATTTGAAATTCTAGCGGTTGACTAGCCTACCACTTCTGCCATCTGGCTCAGCCTCTCCTCCTCTATAGAAACAGAGTTCCGGTGGCCTGTGGTTGTGCACTGCCCGGGCCATTCAGTAAGAGAATCCATTATTAGCACAGAAGTGGCACCCAGCAAACCTTCAAATTGCTGCCTATTGCCACCTTGGGGAAGGGCAACTGTTCCTCCATGTAGAATCCCACTTTCTGGAAATGTTTAAACTAGGATAAGTTCTTAAATTTTTATTTTTTTTGGTTTTTGAGACAGGGTCTCACTATGTAGTTCAGCCTGGACTTGAACTCACTATGTAGCCCAGGCTGGCTGTGAACTCATGACGATCCTCCTGCCTCAGCCTTCTGAGTACTGGGATTACAGGTAAGCACTATCCTGCTGGGCTAGGATAAGTTCTTTAAAGCACAAAATGATTTATGTAATTTTCTGACAACTTTGCAGTCTTTGTAACCCTCTTGGGTTTGCACTTATTTTATAAATACTATCACAACAAAGGTGAGAGAAATAAAAGCCACAAGGGCTCCTACAGCCTGTGCTTGGCTCTTCTTTGCTGCAGTCTGTGACCAAGCCACTAACCCAGAGGAGGGCCTGAGAGGGGCGACGTGAGAAATGAATGCTTTGCTATCTTGATGGATGTGCCTGAAAAAGAAGCGTGCGGTATCACAATAAACATGCCCTGAGAACCAGGCCAGATTTCTGTGCTCCCCTTGAAAGTCAGTAGTGACTACAGTATTAGAAAACACCTTCTGGAGCTCTAAAGTATTCGGAAAGAAACCCTATGCTTAGCTCCTGCTCGGAAGGGCGGAAAAGGGGCGAGTGTGAAGCAGGAAGCAACAGCGACATTAACACCGGGCGCCCGGAACCGGTTTCCATGGATTTCAGAAAAACAGTGGCTCCTCCGGCCTCTAAAAGGCCATTTCCTTCCAGCCCAGAACCCTGACCTACTTAGCCGTCTTGTCAGGAGAGTCAGGACCGCCGTGATGCGTGCGGATTTGGACTCGCAATTAACACTGTTGTTGGCCGGCAACAGCGGGGAACATAAATCCCCGCACACACTGGAGAGTCGGCAAGGCAGGCTCTTTTTTTCCCCAAATTTAACAGAAAATGCAAGCAGCCATATACTTTGCTCCCTTTAAGGTAATATTTTTATTTAAGACGTGTTTTAATTTTTGGCTTAAACTTCAAGTCAGCTATCTCATATTTGGCTCAGAATAAAACATGAAAAGCCTGGAAGGAGAGCAAAGAAACTCACTAGAAAGGTCTCAAATGCATGAAAGGCTTTTTTGCATTTGATTCATAGGATTTGGGAAGTGAAAATTCATGTCTTGGAAGAACACTAAAAAATTAACATCTGTATTAATCTTGTGCATTATATTAATCTTATTATATAAATAACACTTATATTTTTAACGACAGCCAGGCCTAAATAAATAATCCACTTAAAATCTAGAATTGCATTTGTACATATTCAGTGATTAATCTGTCATAGAGCAGAGACAAAAATATTAAGAATCTTCTGGATGTTTTCATCAGGCTGCTTGATCTAAGGATTCTAGAATTTCTAATTTGTATTAAAGGACCATGTTGAAATCTACATATCTTCTTTTTCGATCTTTGTTTGGGGGTTTGGGGAATTTTTTTCTTTTTTTCAGACAGACTCTTCCTAAATGGGTTCAGTCTGGCCATGAACTCACTGTGCAGCCCAGCCTGGCCTCAAGTTTTCAGTGATCCTCCTGTCTCAGCCTCACATGTGCTGGAATGACAGGCTTGTGTCACCACGCCTGGCTGTTAATTCTGTCTTCTTAGAGGAAAGCAAAGCCATTGAGTGAAGCCAAAAATGACTCAGAACTATTGATTCTCAAGGTTTGTTTTATCCTGTTTGTTTCATTTCGGTTTCAGTACACTCTGGAGAATGTAAGGAAGAGGGTAAACGTGTGAGTCTGAATACCAGACCAGCTGCGTGGCTGTGGAGAAATATCCACCTCAATTTCTGCAGGTATAAAATAGGGATGACAAAAGCTCACACCCGATTAAAAGAATCCGCCTATTGCATCTACACTTGGAAAAGGTTTTAAATTTTTAAAAAATCTATTTATGTTTATTGTCTTCTTGCATATATAATAACTGCATTCGTCTTAGAGAGTTGGCATATGTGCATATCACAACTTGATCAGTTTTACTCCTTTCCCATCTCCACAAAGTCTGCCTCTGTTTCTGCCATCTCACTTTCGTTTTGCTCGTTCCATTATGAATACATAAGCTTTTCTGATAAGAGAAACCACCTGACATTTCTCCCTCTGTATCTGATGGTTTCACTTAGCCTTACGCTCCCCACATCCATCCAGGGGAAGTGCTGCACGGACGCCAGCCAGCGTATTGCCCAGTCCTCCCGTGTCTTTTCTGTGGCATCTACTCTTGTGTCTGAACATGCCTCAGCCATTCATTGCCTGACTCTGTGGACAGGCGCTGTGGACGTCAACAGCTTGAGGGCTTCTTTGCCTACAGCCGGTGCAGAGGAGACAGGTGCTGCGTTCCTCCTATTTTCTGCTCTGGGGCCACCCGGAATGCAACCCAGGACAAAGCACACCCGTGTGTCTTGGGATAAAAATTCTGATAACAATGCAGCTTTCAAGTAAATACATAAATAATACCTAGCCAGATATATCCAGAGCTTCTAAAACACACAGACACGAATACTCTATTGTTCTTCCAAAGTGAATACGTACTTTAAAATTATTTTTAAAGCTTTCCTTGGCCTTTGTTATCTTAGCTTCTTTAGTTTCTATTAAAATAGATGTAAATAGAACAAAAATCTGAAGAACTTTTAAAAAACCGTTTTGGGAGTTTGTTTTTATTTCCTATGTTCTTCAAAAACTAAAGGTCAAAGTTGTTCTTTCTTGGATTGAATGGTTATTTTTATTACCTCCCTGGCTTCCATGTTTATTCCCATCTACTGATTGTTTTCTTTTACTCCTTCCAAGTGGTCTGGTTTTGTGATTCTGCAGGAGCAGGGTGTTGCTGGTGTCATAACCCCCCTAAAATGGGCCTCTCCATGCTCACCTAAGTGTTGTGGTAACAATTTTATGTTACGGCAGACTGATTACTGATACCGAGTAATGAGGCCACCCAACAAATAAGAGTAGCTGGAAAACAGTGAAATGTGTTCTGGTCAAAACCTTCACATCTTTGTTTTATAAACCAGAACAAATAATGTAATTATGGGTAATTATTCATGAATGCATGGTACAGAGATTTCACACTATTAGAGATTTTAGCTAGTCAGACAAGAACAGAATGATTTTCTCAGTTTTCTGCAAGCGACTAATCAAATAGCTAATTATACTTCATAACTGGTGATCCTCCCCAAAACACAGAATCAGAATTTAAGGGTCTAGTTGAGACTCTCGGCTTACTCCGAAATCAGATACACCCGTTTGAAGTCTGTCTGCCACGAAATCACAGTTTTTAGAGAAGCACTGCAGAGAATCTGTGATGTCCTAAATACGAGAGTAATACTTCGCAACTCGTTTACCTCCCCAGTTTCTAGGCATTCCTTAACGATCACACCATCAGTTTCTCCCAAGAAGTTCACATTCAATCCGTTTCCCTCTCTTCCCCTTCTGCGGCCATCTTCTTCTTGCCATGTTCTTCTGCCCAACTTTTATGCTTATGTAATTCAGCATTTCTGCTGTTCAAGGCAACCTCGGTGTCGCAGACAATGCTCTTTTTTGCCCTGTCAACAAGGTTTGGAAACTGTTCTCATAGTCATAGATTCATCCACCTCCTTTCCTGACATTCAAGACAAGAATCTGCAAGTATCTTCTCCACATACTTTTAAAAATGGGTATTCTTATCTCAGGCAGATGTGATACAGACTTCTCCCAACTGTGTATCATGTCAAAGCAATTCTATAGTCTCCCTCTGGAAACTCCAGAAAATTACCTCTGTGCCATGACTGGGGCCCCAGACAGAAGCCTGGAATTTCAGGATTCTGGTTAAAGAGGTCAGTGGCTACACTCAATGCCATAAGTGCGTTGGATTCTTAATTATGCTACTTGGTTAGAGATAAGCTTTGTGTCTTCTGGACAGGATGGTTTCAATTCCATGAGCTAGCTCTTCTCCCATTTAGGCTCTCATTCTTCTCCTCCTTTCCTCCCCCTTCCTTGATATTCTGAATTTCCTTCCTTTATCGTGTTCTGTCACAGCCTAGTCACCCACTAGAGAGGCAGAAGCACTTCACGCTCCCCTTTTGGCCAAGAGAAGAAAGTTCAAGGAGGTCACCAGTCTTTTCTTTTAAAAATAGAACTCATTCTTCCTACACTTTGTTTTCAGTAGTGCACAATAGTTCTCTTAAATGTCAGCCTTTATGTAGCTGACAAGATCTTAAAAGTATTTCTCCCACATTTAATTCTGAACTATCATAGTTTTCCATACTCAGGAATGCTTAGTGCAAAAAAGATAAGGTTCAGGATCTCTTACGTCGCTTTGGGTTGCTCAGATGTTACTGATTTTGTGGCAGTCTACCTGAATGCTGAGCAGTATTCAGCTTGCTGGCATAGAGGGAGGGGGGGCATGTTTGGGGTGATGATAATTCAGAAGACAATGCATAGCTCAAGATGCTCCCTATATTTTAATAGCATTAATACTGAGTACAAACAGGACAGAGGTGTTCTGGCTGATGTTTCACTCTTTCCTTTTAATGATAAACATCTGCTAATGCAGCAGCTTGACTTGGACCATAAAATATGGATGTCACTATGGAGACAGCGAGGCTGGTCTGAATAAGCACTTAGTGTCCAACACTTGTGATATTCTATTTGTAGACTTATGGGAGGAAAAAAAAGGTCACAGGGAGGAATTAGAGGGACTCAGCCTGAGAGTCTGCTATAGACGCACTTATAAATGTGGGCAACAATGGAATTTTCAAACAATATGATTATTAATGTGGCATAATGTCGTCATGGTCAAGAATCAGTACTGTTTGCTTTTACTTAAAATGGCAGGGTAATAGGAAAATAAGTAGCAGAGAAATCAAAGTTAGATAAAGGTACTCAGATGGTGGTTTTAGCAGACAATTTTAACCCAGAAATAATGGTTATCTTGCTTTAAGTAACCTCTTACTAATGGAAAAGGAAGTCTTAAACAAAAGATGAATGAGGGAATCATTCTGTGCTTTTCAAATGACTTAGATGTTTTCTAAAAGTGCTGTGAGTAGATACCAAGTCCTGCCAATTCTCAGCTGAATGTAACTAACTTCGAAAAAGATGTAAGAGACTTGTTTTGACTCCATTCTGCCCATCACAAAACATGCTTTGGGATGCATTTAATTAAGTTTCTTCGCCTACGAATGAAATTTTCTGAGTCCATTCAGTGCTTTCTAACTTGGAAATTTACCTGGGGTTTAGAAAGGCAACAATAAGTGTCCATATGATGCTTTTAAGAGTATTTTACATTTCAGAATGCCTAACACAAATTGTCCTTTTATCCACGAACACGCTCTAAATATCAACTAAATTTTTTTGGGGGTGTGTGTTTGGCTTTGTCAATTTACTAAGCTAACAGTGACTAACTCATGCTGATTGGTTTTAATAACATTCTAGAAATTTCCAGTGACAAGACACCATAAAATCACATTTCATGTTTCTGTCAGATGACAGTATTGTGGATCCCTAAGAGTTTTCCATCTTTAGAGTTCCAACAGTCCTCTTTTCCATGGCTCTAGTTAAAGCCACTCCCTTCCTCTAGCTGGAATCATACAACTGCCGCTGAACTCCATCCTTGACCCCTGCCTTGGTCTTCCCAGCACAGCACGCCACGTACCACCAGCAGGCTGATGTTACCTACATCCTGCTCACAGCCTTCGGGTCTGCAGGACCAGGCCCACATACTTACTTTCCCTTTTGCCCTCGCAGATCTGCTGTTGTTGACAACCTAGTCTGCTGCCCACCTCACGGCCTCCTGTCACTCCCACCAGAGCCCCGGCCACCTTGCTTAACCACACACTTCGCAATGCTCATTGTGTCCTTCTTCCCACCAGTGGAAGCCCATGTATTTCTTTTTGAATCCTGAGACACTGTCAGTTGATTGCTCTTATTTAGTGTTTGGAATACATTGCCTTATGATTTTATCACAAAAAACTGCGGACTCTTAGAAAGAGTTAACTGAATTCTTGTAATTTTCTATATTTTCCCACAGAGCCTAAAATAATTTATTTGGCTTGCTAAGGACTCAAGGATAATATTGATTGATTTATAAAAATTAATCTACATAGACTATTAAGAACACAGCGATTAAACAAGCTTATCATTATTTAGATTTAAAAATAATTAGGTAATATATCCAAGATATCCAAGAGTTAGAAGAAAGAGAATATGGTATCAAAATACTGAAACACAACAGCCCACTGTTTCGTTTGGCAAACACGTTTCTGCTTCTGCTGTTTCTTCTGGACATTACTGCCATTATGAATACTATGCTTTTACTACTATTTCCTGATTTCTCAAATTTAATTTCTCACACCACTTTCTAGCTCCCATTGTTGTGATCTCTCGGTAACAACATGCCATGGCTTTCCATTAAATGATCAACCCTCTTTCATGGCATCCTGTCCCTGTTCTGTGGTGACACCATTTCCTCCTCCTTTCCCGAACAGGTAACTGTGTATCTCCATTATTTCCAAATCCATTCTTTGCTGGGGCTTACAGCACACTGGCTTTCATGTTGAAAGCTTTCCCCAAAAGGCTCTTTGGTTGACCTGCACATTCATGAGTGAATAAGTGAGGTCATTTTGCCGAAAGGCCTCAGCATCACAATCTGTCTCTCTGGGCCTCACAGTTTCTGTAGCTGAGTGGTCTGCTCTGACAGGGCACAGACTTTTGACAACCCTGTGCAGGGGACAGGCGGGGGCCAAGGTCTTACAGCCCAAGGAAGGTGCTCAGTCCACTTCCGGCCTCTGTCTCTCCTTAGCTCAACTGTCTCCCCCACAAATCTGTGTGC